TGTCTTTACTTGTTTGTTACTTCCTACATTATTGTTCTTACTTAGGCCATCCATCCCTTTTTCCTGATAGGCAGTAGGTAGTTTAAAGTCAGAGCCTGGTAGAGCTTTGTATATTCCTAGTACAAGCATAAGCATGATGCTCTGTGTATAGTGAGTACTCTGTATTTTTCTTGACTGATTTAGAAACAGTGGTTATTTATTGGAAAAATTTCCCCCATTTTGATTAATCAATATTGGAGGGGGATGGTGTTGTTTAATTTTTATATAGCATCTGGATGGCCTCAAATTCACAATCCTGCCTCAGCCTCCCAAGTGCTAGAATTGGTCCTGTGCTGCCACACCTGGCTAATGTTTTTAGGGCTCTCCTCCATTGTCAGACACATACCCAGATGTTTGTTTTAGTAGCTTCCATCAGTAATCAGGATTCTAATGTTCCTACAAAGCCTTCACACCACAGCTTCCATGTAAAGCATTTAAAAGCAGTTGCCAGTTACATCCATTTGAAGAAAAGATTTTTTTTTAAGTTATCAGTAAACTTTTTAAAGTCCTAACAGATGATACAGACTCATTTTCTAATATACCTTTTAACAGATGAAATTGCTATCAGTTGTATGACTATTTCACCTAAGGACTTTTTACAGGTAGTTATTGCCTTGGGTCTAACTAGCCTAAAGACCTTCTCGTTGATACACCTTTCATTTTCGTGTGACAGGATAATGCATATGGTTCCTGTGACACTATCTGTTGAAGGACATGAGTTGTTGTGCACTTGGGTTTTGTTTTGATATAGATATACATGGATATGAGTGAGCAGGCACACCCCTTTCTTGTTGTCTTAGTGCTGGGGACTAACCCAGGACCTGTGAATGGTAGGTAAGCACTGTACCTCTGAGCTGCACCCATAACCTAGGAACAGGCTTCCAAATGCTGTGTTAAAAGTATTCATCAGGCAGGGCATGGTGGTGCACGCCTTTAATCCCAGCACTGGGGAGGCAGAGGCAGGCTGGTCTCTGTGTTCAAGGCCAGATTGGTCTACAAAGTGAATTCCAGGACAGCCAAGACTGTTACACAGAGAAACCCTGTCTCAAAAAAACCACACACATATACAAAAAGTATCCATCAATATTAGGAGCTTAAAAGTGTTATAGTACTCTTAAGAAGAATGCCCCGGGCGGTGGTGGCGCATGCCTTTAATCCCAGCACTTGGGAGGCAGAGCCAGGCGAATCTCTGTGAGTTCCAGGAAAAGGCGCAAAGCTACACAGAGAAACCCTGTCTCGAAAAACCAAAAAAAAAAAAAAAAGAAGAATGCTCAGTGAAGTCACTTGAAGAGCTGGTTAAATTGAAAATTGCTAGTGCGGGGCTGGAGAGATGGCTCAGCGGTTGAAAGCACTGGCTACTCTTCCAGAGATCCTGAGTTCAATTCCCAGCAACCACATGGTGGCTCACAACCATCCATAATGGGATTTGGTGCCCTTTTCTAACCTGCAAGCATATATGTAGGCAGAACACTGTATGCATAATAAATAAATAAATCTTTAAAAAAAAAAGAGAGAGAGAGAAAATTGCTAGTGCTAGTTCTAGAGTGTCTGATTGAGTAGTCCAGAATGGGACCTAGGTCTTTATGTTTCTAACACAATCTCAGATAATATGGCTAGTCTAGGGCACTCTAAGAACCACCATAGCCCAGTCTTTAGGTGCAATAAGCATACTTGGTTTTTGTTGTTGTTTGCTTGCTTGCTTTGCTATCTATAAATCTGCTCACCTCCTTCTCTAGATTAGTGTCTCTTGCCCATTAAAAACCTTAAGAGTTACTCCTTGAAGAAAACCTGTAGTCTCATCACAACTTCTCTATCTGCTGTCCAGTACTACGATATTTATCAGAGCCATCGAGCTGGCGTTCAGTCAGCCCTCACTTTACAGTTTTAACTAGCATGGCCTCTGTTACGGCAGTATGTTCAGAGTAGAAATTGTATATAAGCTTCACTGCCAGCTCCTCAGTCCAGTTATGAAGTAGATTGCAGACATACATGAGCAGTGACTGCCTTTGTCTCTTATTTCAGTCTGTATTGATTGGTCACTGTGTACCTCTTAGCAGTTCATGTACTGAAATGAAGTGTGGGTCATGGTCAGCCATTTGAGATTTTATGAGACTAGATAATGAAAACAAGGAATTGGCCAGCAAAGATTAAGATAAAGGAAAGAAAAACAACCCAGAAACAGAAAACCCACCAAAGGTAATGCTGGAAGTGAAATTGTAATGGAGCTGTAGAAGAAATAGCTGTCTGGGAATGTTGACACAGCCACTTCTCAGAAGACTCTCGCTGCCAGAGAAACTTGGTGATTATTAACCTAGTGACATAAAGAAGAACAGTGGTGACATCAAGGTGAAGAAACGCCAGCCTAAGGTTTTAATTAAAGGAATTCTTGGATAGACCATGGAAGTTGCTCCTAACTTAGATAAGAGTATGTCAGTTGCCACAGTGGGAAGGTGCTTCTCTGTCAGAAGCTGTTTAAGAAGGCAGGGAGCACTGCTCACACTACTCTTGCCAAGACATTTGGAAAATGTGGGATCATGCTGATTTTGATGTTTGAATTGCAGTATACTAAATGCATATTTTTTATATTTTATTTCTCTAAATACTTATATTAATGGAGAATTTGTTTTGATAAAACATGTAAAAATAGTGAAATAATTATAAATTTTCCATTTATCATTAAAATACATGATTTCAGCCTGTGTAATTGTTTTTACAAATTTGTACTGCATGTAAAGCTAGGACTACCTGTCTGGATTATGTATAAATGATGTATGAACATAAAAGCTTAATTTCTGCTGTCTAAAGCAGTGCCTCCCAACTGTACCTCATCTTAAAAATGATCTAAAAAAGAACCGGGCGGTGGTGGCGCACGCCTTTAATCCCAGCACTCGGGAGGCAGAGCCAGGCGGATCTCTGTGAGTTCGAGGCCAGCCTGGACTACCAAGTGAGTTCCAGGAAAGGCGCAAAGCTACACAGAGAAACCCTGTCTCGAAAAACCAAAAAAAAAAAAAAAAAAATGATCTAAAAAAGAGATTGCTTATGGCTGAAGGACAATGGCGAGAGCTTTTACCTCAAATCTGGCTCAAGTGCCCCAAGGACTGAGGTGACAAGTATCTGAGGCACTGGAAGAACTCACTTGAGCCCTCAGGTTAGACAGCTCCAGCGTTGAGAGTTGCCTCCTGGAGGAAGCAGACCTTCAGAGCGCTTAGGGCAGGACTCTGTGTCAGTAGTTCTTTGATAGACTGCATTTGCTGGGCACTATACTACGTACTTTTATTGTTGACTTTTTTAAGAAAAGGTAAGTAAGTACTGTTAGTAGTCTCAAAGGCTTATTTATTAAACATCAAGAAATACATTATTGCATTTAATATCCTCTTTTTATAGCTATTAAACCATTAAAATGTCTTTATTATTAGAAATGTCATATATAATAAGCACTAGAAATGGAGAGGTGAAACTGAAGTTGGCATAAGAAATAACAAGTGGCTGTGGGGACAAATGGATATGTTGTCTTCGAGGGACAACATCTGATAAAAATGTTTCTAATTAACTTCTTTGAGCATAAAGCAAATAATATTAAAGTAGGCTAGATATGGAAATGAGATATTAAACTATGTGTAATTTTTGTAGTCCCAATGACTGATACCTACTTTCTAAGTAATTTGTTTTGACGATAAAATATTAGGAGTTAAAAATACAAGTAAATGTAAACCATTATTTTCAGCATTGGTGGGTTTTACTCTTACACTGTGATGTTTTAACCTTCATGCAGTAGTAGTAGCATGGCCTTCCTATTGACCCGTGTGTATTGATTTGCCTCAGCAGCTCCTCTGTCACTCGGTACATCACAGCACCTCAGTGCATGTCTCAGCCTATTTTGTTTTAAAATGTACACATTACTTTCTACAACAGAAATGTTATTTTAAGAATATAATGTTTGAGATTTTGTGAATTATAGATTTATATCAGGCATGCAAGAAAATAAGACTTTGAATAGATTGCTTTACTCACTGAAACATTTATGATTGCTTTAATTAAAAATAATCTATATTTTTATAATCTAAGTTTTACAGTAATGTGTCTTTGAGATTTATTGAGCATGCCCAGTCCACAGATTTGATTTAACTGCTTATTTACATGGTGAGCACATGCTTCCCTTTCCAGCTTCATGGAGATGCAGCTCTAGTGGGAACCATGGGCACTAATGGCTGAGCAGTTTTTGCTCTTAAATTAAGATTTAGAGGCAATCATCCTATTTGGGGAGTGTGGACGTATGTAAGCTATTCTTTATTCAGCAAATATTTAAAAATGAATACATACCATAATTTGTATTTTATATCATTATAAATTCAGGTTTACTTGATAGCTAGTGAGATATATTTCTCCTTTTAAATACAAAGTCCTTTGTAGTTGTTAAAAATGTGTAAAATCATCTTTATATAGAGAGACTAGTTAACTTTTTGGTTTGTTTTATTTAAAGAAACTTGAGTTTCTTTAAGTTCAATGTTTTCTTTTAGGGCATATTGATGCATTTACTTCAAAGCTTTTCATGCTAGAAGAAATCACCTCAGAAGAATTAAAAGAAAAACTTGCAGCACTCAAGTAAGGAAGTGCTTTGTGGTGGGCACTGGAAAGACTTCACTCCTGTAATGTTATCTCAGATTTTCCTTTACCTACAAATAATGATGATGTTTGATTATTTTCAAGATCAATTCAATTTCAATTGAGGGGCCCCCAACCCAATTTACATTATTTGTCTCCATCTGCAAAGAAATGTACTGCTAATACTGTCTTCCCACTTCAGGCAGAGGAGGCTAGAGCCAGAGAGTGTGTTGTGTTAAAGTGCAGGGAAACAAACATTTTAGCCCTGTGTAGATGAGACAAGGATGAGACAGCCACAGACTTTCAGGCATCAGGATTATGTGACTGGTTAGGTCCTCAGAACCCTGAGTGCCTCGTTGTGAGGGAAAATAGCTTGTGCAGAGTTTCTCATTTTATCACACAACTTGGCATGAAAGACTTGTGGTAGCATTGTGGCCATTTCATAGACAAAAAAGCTGGGACTGAGAGTGCTCACAGGCTGAGCTGGGAGCACAACCTTGATAGTTAATGTGCTAAAGTCACCACTGTTAGCTGCAAAGCTCCACTTGGCACAGCTCTGTGAGGGAACAATCGGACTTGAACTGTGCTTACACTGGTGTCCACTCTGTAAGAACTGCCTTATATGTGTGCATAGAAAAGTCATGACATTACTACCTAACCCTTTGCTTCACTTCTCTCAATGAAAGTCTTTTTTTAAAGAGACATAGTAATGGGAACAAGTTTCTATGTAAACGAGGCACCAAGGAAACACCTAGAGTAAAACTTCTGCTTTCCCATTGGCAGTCTGTCCCTCTCTGTGCTGCTCTGCATTGCACATGCATGAAGTCAGGTTTCTCAGCAGCTGATTACAGCTGGTCTGTAGTTTCATACTGTGTAGGCATTTTTTAATTATATAATTATAACTGCTCTAACACAGAGCCAAATCCATCATGAACATGAAAAGAAGAAATTTAAGTCTCTCTCCCCAACATAGTCTATTTGCTGGTCCTTGTTCTGCATTATTTGCCTGCTGCTGCCTTTGGCTGTGAGCAGTAGACCACACGTTTATTAGTGAGGCTTTGTTTTCTAGGTTTGTTTCAGTTTAATTTCACATCATTTTCTTCTGTTTAATAGGATTTCAAGTTTATTTAACATTCTCCAACACGTTCTAAAGAAATTGTGTAGGTAAGTACTTTGGGGTATTTTGCATAGATGTTTTTATTTACTTTGCTGGAAGTTATTAGAAACTTTGTCAATATGCTATTAGAGATAGATGGAAAAACTAGAAGTGTACACGCATTTTACCTGAGTTAAAATTCCAAAAAATATGAGTGAAAGATAACATGATAGTGTCTAGCTGTAATAAAATTGCAAATGTATTTTTTGTTCTTCTCTCTCCCTTTTTCTCTCTTCCCTCTCTCTCCCTTTCTCTCCCTCTCCCTCCCTCCCTCTCTCTCTCTCTCTCTCTCTCTCTCTCTCTCTCTCACACACACACACACACACACACACACACACACACACAGAGCCTTACTATAATTACCCAGTCTAACCTCAAACTGTCAATCTTCTAAGATACATGAGTTTCATTGACTAGAAACTCAATATTTGAAATGTTATTTATTCTTTCTACCAAATTGCCATTTGCCTCCTTATATGATTGAGAGAGGGGAAAACCTCCCTCGAAGCCAGTAATTCTCTGGATCTCCTTTGTCAACACCAGTTACTTTCAGTTTTAAATGTAGCTTATTATGTTTGTAGACAGATCTATATAACTAAAGCTGATTATCTTCATTTTAATAATGTGGAAAAGAACTGTTCTCTTTGCCTCTTTGGCCTAGAGGCTGTGTATTCCCAAGAAAACACAGTCCACTGCCTATGTGACTTTTGTTCTTTACCGTGATACATCGAATTCCTTGAAGCTTTCCAATAAACAATGAAAAATATAGCTGATTGGCCATCATCAATTATTGTGTTAATAGAAGATGTGATTGACGCTCTGACCTGTGTGCAACCAAAAGGCCAGGTCTGATTGAAGCCCTACTGTGCACAGAACTGTGGACAAATTGCCTAGTGTATCTCTCATGTTTATTTAAGCCCAATTTGGAGTTAAGCTCGAAACTGTGTGTGAACGATTTAGTATGAAGTTGGGTAGTGGGGCAGAACAGCAGTTAACTATAAACACATAAGCCTGCTGCTGTTTCTACATCTTTTCTACATGGTCCCTCACCTGTTTCAGACACTTTAGAGTCCTGGACATGTCACATTTACTTTTGTGTCTCTATTCTCTTCCTTATTAGGAACTAAGTACAGTGTTGAATGGATGAAATATATGGTTGGAGTATATCATGGATTAGAGAGTTAGATGGATTGTTTTTCCATTAAATGACTGACTTTACAAATGGATAAAACAGTAAAAGAAAATGGTCACATATTTCTGAATTTTGGAATAAAAATGCTAAGATTGATTGTCTGAACGCTATAAAGTAGTTTTAAGGCTTCTGAAATCTTTACTTTTATTGGTCCTGAAATACTTTTAGAAGTGGCATTCTCTTCCTGTGGTAACTCAGTTTTGCTCTGTGGGGTTAGAAGAACATGATGAGATTGGCACTATAAGCCAGTGAGTTGAATCTCCGTGTTGGATACAGCTTGCAGGATGGGTCCTACTTGCTATCTCACGCAGCAGAAGACTCTTCGCTCCTGATCTACAAGACCTCAGATGGAAAAGTTACGAGGACAGCATATAATTTGCATAAGGCGCATTGTGACCTTCCTGGTGTACCTTCCAGTCTCTCAGTTCCTTGGGTTCCATTAGATCCCAGCTACCTGTTACCATATCACATCCATCATGGACGAATACCTTGTACTTTTCCGCCTAAATCACTGCGCCCTGCAGCACAACCAAAGGTAAGATCTTTTTTACAATTAATATCCTATTTGGTTATTGATTACTAATCTGTTTCTCTGACTCCCTTCAACAGATATCTGCATTTGCCCTGGTAACCATTCACCATCTAAAACCTGTGCCCATATTGTATGTAGGACTTCCTTGCCTATAAGTTTTATAAGTCAGCTAAAGACATCTGTGCTAACTTGCTGTAAGTGTGCATGCATGAGGCATCCATGAAGTACAGTGCTTTGGTTTCTGCCCAGTACACACTTGTATTTTCTTAGTTCTTATTTATGTATATCCTCTTCCATTCAACAATTGAGACAATTTGCAAAAAAGTCCATGTAATAAAATTATTACATAAGTAAAAATTGTTAGTAATATGATGAAATATTTAAAAGCAAGTATTAGTAATTAGTGAGTGAAGTGGCTTATTAAAAATACTGTAAATGGGGCTGGAGAGATGGCTCAGAGGTTAAGAGCACTGGCTGCTCTTCCAAAGGTCCTGAGTTCAATTCCTAGCAACCACATGGTGGCTCACAACCATCTGTAATGAGAGCTGATGCCCTCTTCTGGCCTGCAGGGATACATGCAGGCAGAGCACTGTATGCATAATAAATAAACAAAAGAAAAAAAAAATACTGTAAATGCCGGGCGGTGGTGGCGCACGCCTTTAATCCCAGCACTCGGGAGGCAGAGGCAGGCGGATCTCTGTGAGTTCGAGGCCAGCCTGGTCTACAGCGTGAGATCCAGGAAAGGCGCAAAGCTACGCAGAGAAACCCTGTCTCGAAAAACCAAAAAAAAAAAAAATAAAATACAGTAAAATATTAAGAGCTAAGTTGAATTATGCTGAGTATTTTATAACTTAGGGTTTATTGAATTACTATTAATGTTATACTCATTATAAAACCCTTCTGGAAATGTCAGTGGAGGAGCATTTTTTCTTTCTTTTTTTTTGTTCCTAAAGACATGTTTCTGTGTGTAGCTTTGGCTGTCCTGGAACTTGCTTTGTACACCAGGCTGGCCTCGAACTCTCAGAGATCTACCTGCCTCTGTCTCCCGAGTGCTGGGATTAAAGGTGTGCATACCACACCTGGCTGAGCAGCATTTTTTAACCTGGAATTTGAAGCCACAGCTGCAGGTGCTCTCTCTGCTGTCTCTGCCCTGCCACCCGTTCTTCAGGTCATGCCCTCAGCTGCAGTTTGAGCTTAGTTGTAGAAAGACTTCTGCTGTCTGCAAACGAACCTGAACGTCCGGTGTATTTTCCTGCCGTGTTGCCCAACACCTTTGAGTCAAATCACTGAGTTCTTTCATCTCTGTACGGTTCCCTGGGGAGCTCCTGTAGATGCACGTGTGTGTCCTGTGAACACTGTCTTTTTTCTTCCTTCTCTGTCACGCCCAAGTAGTCTATAAATGTCCCCAAATCCTTTTCAGAAAATAGCTTTTCCTACAAGTGCCAAGGACTTTAATTATTGCTGTTGACTTATTGTTCCCGTTGGCTAGGATTGTCATGCTGTTCAGTCCTCCACCCTGATATCACCATTTGAGAAAATTGTCCTATTTATTCGCCAGTCTTTTGGTGCTGGAGACTGAAGCCAGGCCTTGTGCATGCTAAGCGGGCATTTCACTCTGAAACACCTTATTCCCCTTTCCTAGTAGACTTCGATGAGAAAGTGTAAATGTGGCAAACTAGTTGAGAAAATGAAAAAATGGAGAAAGTTAGTAACTCTGTATTTATCTCCAGTTTTGGTGACTATTTTTAGTTTCTAAATACTCTCTAAGTAGTGATTTTTATAATCTAAGAAAATGTCTTAAGTAACTTAAAAATAATTGAAAATATTTTTGAAAATCTGTATTCTAAGAGGACAGTTTTAATTTAGAAACACTAATTATAGTCTGTCAACTATAACATATAATTGTGTATGGAGGTGTCTTTTATTCCTTTTTGGTGAAAATGAATGGTTTAATACCTTATCCCTGAACAACTTTGAGTTGAAGAAAACATATTTATGCAGGATTTTTTAATACATTTTTTTATTTTACATACCAACCACAGTTTCCCCTCCCTTCTCTCTTCCAGTCCCCCCTCACCTCCTTTCTACCTCCCTCCCCCCATCCACTCCTCAGAAAGGATAAGGCCTCTCATGGGAGTCAAAAAAAAAGCATGGTATATCAAGTTGAGGCAAGACCAAGCTCCTCCACCCTTATATGCAGGGTGTTTTTCAAAGAATTGAGTGACACTGTTATACTTTATCTGTCAGACTAACTCCAAACATTGAATGCTTATGCCTTAGAAATACTTGGAAGATTTAACTTTTTCAGTAGAGTGGTCTAAATGTGCTGTAGTATAACAAGAAAATTCATTTGGACAAGGAGAAATTCTGTGTACTCAGGACTTGAACACATAAATATACATTCTAACAGTTCAGTCATGGGTATCACTGGACAGTGTCTGGTGTAGGGACAAATGCTCTGAGTTTATCTGGGACCAGCCTGTTGCATAGGCCAGCACTGGGGACATAGACATTTAGATAACTAATGTTGCCTTGGTGTGTTTTGAAACTCAGCAGAACTCCTCCTGCCACAGCTAGTCTGTCGTAGATGCATGTGTGTGTCCCCTGGATACTCTGTTCTTTTTTCCTTTCTTTGTTATGCCCAGTTAGTCAGTAAATGTCCCAAAGCCCTTTTAAGAAATAGCTTTTCCTGCAAATGCTGAGGAGTTTTTAATTGTTGATTTTTGTTGTTGTTCACGTTAGATAGGATTGTGAATGCTGTGCAGTTCTCCACCCTGATGTCACCTCCCTGCCTTCCTAGCTAGGCCATGGAAATAGGACTTCAATAATTCCAACCAAGCTCAGCACCTGTTGGGTTCTAGGCTTAGCAGATATGCAGAAAGATCAGAGCTTTCTGAAAACTGGGAAGTCAGAACCTGTAATGAAATAACTGTCTGCATCTCTGATGTAGCCTTGCCTTGGTGTGATTTTCCATCCCTAGTGCTCTTGAACCAAGTGCTCATCCCTGGACAGGGCCTGCAGCTCTGAACCCTGACTCCAGCATACTCCAGTAGACCTGCTTCACCTCTTACTGTAAAGCATCTGCTACCCTTCACCACTATAGGTTCCATAATAGGCATTTACTGGACACTTACACAGTTTTCAAAATGTTTTCCTTTCTCAAACCAGCTGAGTGGGGAAGTGACAGGTGCCTGAGAATCAGCACTTACTGTAAGGTCATTTAAGACATGAGATTCAGAGACCGACAGACCCTGGCTGACTAAAGCTCTGGTTTGCCGCCATTCTAGCCATGTAATTTACAAACCAACCCTAAAAGCTCTAGAAGAGAAAGTAAAGACACTAGATTCTGGTACATTCTTAGGGAACCATAGTGCTGGCACTTCATTTGTTGGGCTGGACTGAGAGAGTGCGTTTGAATCACCACCGCCCCTTACCCTCCCATCTGCAGGATTGACTGCATGGGACGTACAGAAACACTGCCTTAGTGAGGTGGCTAGGGGAACTGAAGGCAGATATAGGCCACTTTTTGGAAATGATTGCAGGCTGTACAACTTTGGTCTTGTGTGAGGTCTCTAAGTGGCCAGGAAGATGACAGCATTTCCAAAGTCTCTTTAGCCAGGGCTCTGATTAGCAGGCCTTTCCCCTTGCTCTAAGATTCTGGGAGCTGGGTGCAAGTTGGAGCAGGCGTCAGGGGAGCTGGCATTCCTCTCAGCTATACCCATCTCCTCTTCCTCTTCCTTTCCCTGTTTCCTCTTTCTCCTCTGGTTTCTCTCCCTTCTTTGCTTTCACATTTTTTATTTCTTCCTTTCTAGACTTTCTCTCTCTTCTCTTTCACCATCTGATCTTCTTGCCCTGTTCCCTCTTACTCTCCGTCCTCTCCCTGTCCTTGCTTTTCTCCTTCCTTCCTGCTCGCCATGGAATTGCACACTGTCTCAAAAGGTCTGGTCTTTCTCACTTTCTAATTCCCCCTTTCAGCATCGTGTAAATGTAGCAGCGGTTTTCAGCTGAGCCCTACTCCAGCTTCTGTCCTCATTGTTGCCAGAAGTTTAATGCTTTTAAAACTGGGTCAGATTCAAATTCTTAAATAGCCACGTGGCTGGGACTTAAAAATTTACAAAAGATATTTCCCAGATTGAGAGTCTCTGTGTAAATGATGCAGTGTTGTTTGTGTGCAGGCATGTTGTGAATGTATTAAGTTGTTTGGCTCTTGATTTATCTCTTAGGTTGGTGGGACAAGAATGCCTCTTCATAGCCACAGGAATCCAGTTTCCATGGAAACCAAAAGCAGTTGCCTGCCTGTTCAGCAAGTTGAAAATGAAGGAGTGGCTCAGAATAAAAGGAAAATAACGTAAGGACTGGACCATGGAAAATGAAGTTTCAGAAAAACCAGTTGTACCAGTGTTTAACGTTCATCAACTTTGAGGGGAAACATGCCCTAAAAAGCAGCTAGCAAGAAGAGTGTTTCCCCTTGCTCTCCTGGAGTTCTTAAAAAGTGCCTTGGAAACCTACTGACTGTGGGAAGGGCAGTGCCAGCAGAAGTTAGTGTCCCTCCTCACTTCTGCATGGAGAAAGACAAATATTTTTATAGTACTCTTTTCTAAAGATCACAGATAGGAAAACCACTTGCTGTTTTAGAAAGTGTCATGTGTTATATTAGTAATTTGATTGTATTGCTAGTCTAATAAGACTGGCCCAAACGGTTAAACATGGCCACTGTAGAGACAGCTGTGTTCGTTCTTCATGGCCCATTTTTATCAGTATCAACACTACTATTGATGTGTTTGAAAACCTGTTGAAATTCCATTGTGGACACCAGAAGTGAAAACAAGGAAGATCTCTGTTTCTGAAAAGTGGCAAATGGATATTTTCCTGCTAGGCAACCACACATGTGTTTTATAAAACACTAGCATTCTGTGGTGTGACAGCTTTAGTGACAGTGCCTCTACAAATTCCGGCTGAGTGTGGTGAACCACACTGCCAAAAGCCAAGACAACATGAGTATGCAGGCATTCGGGGGAAAAAAGCTTGAGCATTCCATCAGGCATGGGTAAGGTGCCATTAAGCCTAGGATTTTCTTATTTATTTTTCTCATTTATCCTGATTCATTCAGAAAGCAGCATCAGCAGTGGGTTGGCCAGTTTGGATGTGAGGGGACAGACCTGTTCACTTTTTGTTACCTATTTTTTAATAAACACTAAAGGTATCAGAAATGTGTTTGCAATCTCAGAAATACAAGATTTGTAGTCCAAAGGCAATTTTCTTGTTGTTTTGGGCCAGTGTGTGCATGTTTGTGTCTGTGTGTGTTCCATGGAAATTATACCCAAAAATCGGGGTCTAGAGAAAGGGCTATTGCAGAGGACCAGATTTGATTCCCAATCACATGACTGCCCACAACCATCTATAACTCCAGTTCCACAGGATCAGATGACCTATTCTGGCCTCTGTGGGCACTTCATGTATGTGGTATACATACATATATTTTGATAAAACATTCGTGCCCATAAAATAAAATTCTCTTAATGAAAAAAATACTCAAATCCTCTAAAGTATTTTAAGCTGAAATTTTTATCTTCTACTATCAAGTTTTGTTTTGAATTGATTTTTCCGAGGAGTTGGTTGCCTAAATTATTAGTACATATTACTATATGGATTTTTTGTTTTGTTGTTTTGTTTTGTTTGAGACAGAGTCTATACATAGCTCTGGCTGTCCTATAACACAGAAATCACCTACCTCTGCCTCCTGAGTGCTGGGATTAAAGATGTGCGCCACCATGTCCAGCTACTGTATGGATTTAATGTATGATTTCCTCAGCCTGCTACTCTTTTTTTAAAAGACTTAACTTTCCTCCATAAACTTTGTCACTTATGCACATATTCAGAAATATTTTAGTTTTGACTCATTTGGCATTCAGCCTGGGAATGTGGGGTAGGGGATCCCTTTGGAATTAGCTCTTTTCCAAAGCTAGACAGTGTTTGCTGCAGTCTGAATGTTGAAGACTGCCTTGACTTCCTCTGTCTACAGTGATTATTTTTTAATTATCAAACCTGGGAACAGTTCTGATCACATAAGAGCTGGTTTTCCTCTGTACTTAACAAAGGCTCTTTTTAAACACATATTTGATGTTGTCTTTTGTTCTTGATTTTTAGCATAAAGAATTTGTAAGCAAGGTAGTGATATTGATAATAACTGTAGCAACGTTTTTGTTGTTGCTGTTGTTGTTTTTCTTTAATATAAGCTTGGGGTTACCTCAATATTAGAGTACTCACCTAGCATGCCTGTGACCAAAGGTTCTGTCTAGATGCATAGGAAGAAAAGGAGATATTAGGATATTATGAACCTAAACCTGGCTCCTATATTCTTTTGTGTGAAAGTATAATTAATGTAAACGTCTTAGAAAACAAGTTCAAGAATTTGACTACAGCATTGTGTCATGAAATGTCACTAGGTCGCTATTGTCCTCTTGTCACATTCAGACCTCACAATATTGTTTACTTGACAGTAGACAACAAGTTCTGGGGGGCGGGGCAGAAGCATATTTGTTTACCATTAAATAACAATACCAGTAGATACGTGTTGTATTCAGGAATGAATAGATATCAAGGACAGATGGCTACATGAGACCCTGTCTCAAATCAGATTTTTCTTTTCCTTGTAGGTGTACATTCTAGTAGAGGAATTTGTGTGGTGAGAGCCCTGATAAAAAGTCATCTTGAAAGCTATGTTGAGCTGGGGGTGTATAGCTCAGTGGTAGAGAGCTTGCCTAGCATACCTGAGACCCTGAGTTCCACCCCTGTCACTATAAAAAGAAAAAAGAAAAAGAGCCATAGCACATAACCAAGTCTTGATAATTAAGGAAGGAGTTTCTGAAATAAAACTTCAGCTGGTTATTTTTTTTTTTTTATTTATTTATTTATTATGTATACAGAAGAGGGTTGCCAGATCTCATTACAGATGGCTGTGAGCCACCATGTGGGTGCTGGGAATTGAACTCAGGACCTCTGGACCTCTCGAAGAGCAGTCGGTGCTCTTAACCTCTGAGCCATCTCTCCAGCCCCTATTTTTGTTTTTTTAATGGGTAGGAGTTAGAGAAGGAAGGTACAGAATATGAAAAGGTGAAAGGTGGCCAGAGCCCAGGCTGTGAACATGGAGATGACTGAGCAAATCATAGTTTAGACACTGGGATCCTATCCCACACAACTTGGAAACCTGTAGTGAAGTTTAACAAAAAATGTGATCAGGTATGTGTCCGAGAAAGGCTTTTGGTCAGCACTGTTCTACAGAATGCACTGGGGAAAAGTTGAATATTTTAAGGGAGGATCTGAAATTGGTAACAAGCCAGCACTGTCCGTCGGGTACAGCTTACCTAGAAGCATTTGTAATGCTGGGAGAGTGCTGGTGTTCTGCACTAGAGAAAATTAAAGTGTGGTTAGAGAGGGAAGAAAGCACACTGTTGCTTTAGCCGTTCTACTCCCTGGACTCTGGCTGTGGATGCTGTGGTGCTGTGTATTAGTTACCTATGTGACGTGCCTGAATGACAAAGACTGTCCAGGTGCAGCTCAGCACTCCGCCCCGAGCTCAAAGGTTCTTCTGTACTTGCAATCATGTTGTTGACTGGAGACATCCACTTCCTCCAAGCCAAGGTTCACATGCATGTATGTAGGTAGAAGGCCTTGGTTCTTCTGTTGTCGCAGTAGGCCATGGGCCCTTTTTGTCTGGACTGCTGTGTAGCACAGCCCAAATGTCCTCATGGCACAGCAACCTGCACACCCCAGCATTAGCTGCCTCAGAAAGGAGCAACAAGGAAGTGATGGTGTCTCAGAGGTCAAGCACTGACTTCTGCCATATTCTCCTGGTTAGAAGTAAGTCACTAAGTCCACAATCTTGAATGCCAGCTCTGTGAGGGGAGGAATACACAAAGACTATATGAACCTATTTATTTAAATAATATTTATTAATTGAGAATTTCATAGTATGATTTGATCATATTCACTCCCCTACCCCTAACTCTTCCTAGATCCACCCACCTCCCTACCTCTTCAACTTTAGATTTTGTGCTTGTTTTTGGTTTATAAACCCATCAACTCCAGTGTGTGTTATCCAGATACTCTTGGTTATGGGGCCTACCCTGGAGCATGGTCAACCTACCAACTGACTACTCCCTCTCCCAGCAGCTATCAGTTGTCAATAGCACAATTTTAGGGGTAGGACTTCATTCCCACCTCCACTCAACTATGCTGGGATTTGTCTGGCTTGAGCTTTTGTAGGTCTTATGCATACTGTCACAATCACTGTGATAGTTCGTATGTTCATCTGCCCAGTTGTATCTGGAAAGTGCCATTTCCTCTTAGCTATTCACCATTATGACTCTTAGCATCTTTCTGCCCCCTTTTCCATGAAGATCCTTGAGCCTTGTGAGGAACAGTGTGATATAGGCATGCCATTTAGGAATGAGTAATCCTATCCTCTTGTTCACAGCACAGGAGCTGTGGGTCTCCTGTTTATTGCCATCTGCTGCAAGAAGTAGATTCTCTGATGAGGGTGGGAAGATGCACAGATCTATGGCTGTAGCACTAAGTCATTTTGAGTCTTTATATAATGCTACGTCCATTTAGCAGAATAATGGTAGATTCTTCCTCTAGGGGCAGTGATGTGTCTAGCCGTACGTAGGTTCTTGACCCTATTAACAATGGCAGGTATGGGTTCTGTCTGATGGATTGGGACTTAAATCCAATCAGACAGTAGTTGGTTATTCCTATAGCATTTGGGCCACTATTGCACCAGTGGCCGTATCTTGCCAGGATAATTATTATGGCAGCTTATAGGTATGGATCTATTTTTAAACCACCATACATGCCATGAACACATTTAAGGGTGTATAAGACCTAGTGTGTAGAAAGAAAAGGAATTACTATCTTACCTACTGTCTTAGGCTAAGGCAGAAGGATTTATGAATTTGAGGTCAACATGGGATGCACGGCAGGACCCTGATTCAAAAGATGTCAGTTACTATCAGCACATTAAATCTGAGACAAAAATTACTTGTGTCTTTAACATTTGAGCTCAAGTTAGAAGCCACATCAATACAGATTTCAGAGTTGGTGATTGAAATTGGAGCAAAGGGCAAAATGGAGCAGCAGAAATGAATAAGGAAAAGAATAGCAGAGAAAACTGGACATTTTGGTTGCACTAGAAAATGGTGGGAGCATATCAGAAGGACACAGGGCTAGCTGAAAGGTGTCCCAGGTCCAAGAAAATTTGAATATTAAATGACTGTAGTAGTCATCTGCAATCCTCTGAGTAAAATAATTCAAGAGTCACTGACCATCAATGAAAAAATAAACAGGAGGGTGCCATTCAGTTCTACGGTATGCCAACCAGCACATGAAATGATGGAGTTAGAAAAATCATCCATTTGTAATTGCTAGAGTAATTTAGCAGTCAACAGATATTAAAGTCAATGAGAGTTTGGTGATAAATAGGAACAATTACATAGTCTTATTTAAAGAATCACCCTGAAAATTGTTTATTATTTGGTGAATATAGTGTGTTTATCAATTTACTTAGAGTTGAAGAAACTGTCCTAAGACGGAGTGTTGTCACTAGTAAGATACAGGAACATAGCAGTTGTGTTTCCTACTGTGCACCAGGAGAAAGTAGTGTCAGTAATGTGGCATCTTCCTGGCATAAAGGTGTCCATCATGAAGAAACACCCAGAGAGCCCAAACCAGAGACAGTCTATAAAACAAGTGGTTTGGGGATTTTCAGGAATCCCATCATCCCTGTGAAAGACAGAGGAAGGCTATTGTCTTAGGGTTTCAATTGCTGTGAAGAGACACTGTGACCATGGCAACTCTTATAAAGGAAAACATGTAATTGAGGTGGCGACTTACAGTTTCAGAGGTTTAGTTCATTATCGTAGTGGGGAGCATGGTGGCGTGCAGGCAGACATGGTGCTGGAGAAGGAGCTGCTGCATGTTGATATAAAGGCAACAGGAAGTAGACCGAGTATCGCACTGAACAAAGCTTGAAGGAAGGAGACCTCAAAGCCCACCCCCACAGTGACACTCTTCCTCCAGCAAAGCCACACCTCCTCATAGTGCAACTCCTTTTGGGGGCCATTTTCTTTCAAACCACCACAGCTGTCAAGCTGTTTCTGCTTGTGGACACTAGCTAAATGTGACTCATGACCATGGTTTGGACTTGGTTCCCGCTCTAATAGAGGGTATCATCAAAACAACATAACTTGGAGCATGTAGTAGTGAGTAATGGTAGATGAAGGCTAATCTCGTTTTACCATTGTGATGTCAGAAAGTGCCCCATACTTGGGAAGTAAATGCCTACATGCATATTGATATGAGACAAGATGTCTGTAACTTATTTACAAATTGGAAGATTCAGGTATGGAAATGGTAGCAGGGAGGGTTGATGTCAGGTACACAAGAACAGTGTGTATGCTTATATGTATTTCTGCAGTGTTTGTATGAATTTAGGACTAGTGCAAAATAGATCTTTTTGAAAGGTACTGTTTACATTGTAGGGAGTTCAGGGAAAATGAACTAGGGAATGTTATTAGACTCTCAGCCATCCACAGATTTCTTAATGTGAAACAGCAGCAGCACAGCGAGCTGAGAGCTGAGTGGTGAGGAAGGAGAGCATGAGAGTAGAGAGGTACTGAGCAGTGTGTGAAGGGGTGGATCTGAAACCAGAAGAAGAACCAAGGGGGAGTGTAGCTAGAGTTTTCCTGCCTGGCCCACGGTCAGGGCAAATCTCTCTCACCTGCCAGTCCCACAGCTGCTCAGACCCGACCAAGTAAACACAGAGATTTATATTGCTTACAAACTGTATGGCCGTGGCAGGCTTCTTGCTAACTGTTCTTATAGCTTAAATTATTTCTATAAATCTATACCTTGCCACATGGCTCGTGGCTTACCGGCATCATCACATGCTGTTTGTCATCATGGCGGCTGGCAGTGTCTCTCTCTCAGCCTTCCACTTCCCAGCTTTATTCTCCTCCTTGTCCCGCCTATACTTCCTGCCTAGCCACTGGCCAATCAGTGTTTTATTTATTGACCAATCAGCAACACATTTGCCATACAGAACATCCCACAGCAGGGGAGGGATTTGGGTTTTGGAATGGTATGGACTTGTATTTTCAGGTTTCGAGACATCTGCCTGCAAGATGATATAGTAAGGACACTAAGGAATTTAGCAGTCGGCAGAAAGTACTGGCGAAGACTAGTTGGGAGCCCCTGGAAAGGACTATAAGACAGTTGAAGGTCAAGATACTACTTACCAAGGTTCCATTTGGAAAGAGTCCCCATATACCCTCTGTCCCCTCACCTGTCCCCATATACCCATCTGTTCTCCCCAGTCCTGTGGCTGCCATGACACTAAGTGGAATTGACCCCACCTACTATATTGTGTATATGTGTTATGTTATCTTCATCCATTCCTCTGTTGGTGGACATTAAGCTGGTTCCATATCATCATTATTCCCACCTTTTCAAAGTCTGGCCTCAACTCTATAGGCAGCTGGGCACTGAGAAAGAAACTAAAGGTCCAGAGACTAAAGAGATGGCTCAGTAAACCTGTACTGCTCTTGCAGAGGACCTGAGTTAGGTTCCCAGCACCCATATCAAGCAGCTCAAAACTACCTCTAATTCCAGCTCTGAGAGACCTGACACCCTTTCTGATCACCACAGGTACCTGCACTTATGAGCACAAACCCAGACAAAGACATACACACACTCAAAGTCTTAGCAAGACTAGAGATCCATGTTCAGACACATTTTCACAATACTAATTCAATTTATGTTAGCTTACTTCATTCACAGAAGGCGAGGTGTGGTGGAGCGTGTCATCCACAATCCCAGCAGCCCTTGGGAGGCTGAGGCACAAGGTACACAGATTCAGAATCAGTCTGGGCTACACCGCGGGACCCTGTCTCCAAAACAGGTGAAGAAACAAGTGAAGATTTCAGTTAGATTCAACAATTGCGAGATAACTTATGTTGAACCTTGTTCTACACATTCTTCCCAGCTGCAAAGCTTGTCTGCACTTGAATACATGGCCTCTGCGTCTCCCTGCGGTACCACCGCCAAGACCCAAAAGCTCATCTACAGTCCCTGGCCTGCTGAGAACATACCTATTCTTCCATCGGCTCTCAGATCCTCACCACTGGCACACAGTGTTCTCAGGGCCAGTGAGTGTGTTTGCAAACCAGTCTTTCCGCAGACCTCCATCCGACCTAAACTGCAGAAACAGGCTTTAAACTGTAACCCTTTTTTTTTTCATCCCACCTATTAGCTAGGACTCCAATAAATAAAGACAATATTGTGTCCAGCAGCAGTTTTACTGACTCTATAATTCTCAATGAGGCAATATTCACCTTTGTCTCTGAGGGTTTCAGCAGAAGGTGAGAAAGGCTGATGAATGGGTACCGAGCATTAGTTGGAAAGGAGAAGTGAGCCCTGGTGTGCTGCTGCTCCACACAGTCGCAACAGGCAAAGATAATGGACTATATATTCCAACAAATTCAAAGAGGGGGTTTGAAACAGTTTAACTTCAAAGAAGTGTTAAATGCTGGAGGAGTCAGATATGCTCACCCAATCTGAACATTACATAATGTGTACATGATTCAGAACATGAGATGATACTCCATAATTACAGACAAATTTAATGTCAATTAAAACTGATCATTTGGGAGGCACTAAACGCATCTTCAATAATAGAGGTTAGAAAGTAAATAGATTCAGTTAGATGATGGCTTTAAGATCTGTTTGTTTTATTGGGTGAGAGAGTTAATACTCCTGTACAACTAAGAAATAAAATGTATTTAGACTAGAGAGAAGGCTCCATGGTTAAGAGCTCTGGCTGTTCTTTCTTCCAGAGACCCAGGTTCAATTTCCAGCTCTAACATGGCAGCTCACAACTGTCTTTAGCTCCAGTTCCAGGATGTGGACCCCCTCTTCTGCCTTTCAAAGGCACTGCATGTTGCATGTATGTAGTACACAGCCATGCAGGCAAGACAACCATATGCATAAAAATAAATCTTTTTTTTAATACAGTGTATTCTACATCTAGTTTGTGTATTGTGGAATTAGTGTCATTTTTTAACTATGTAGTCTAGGGCCTGACAATACTAGGGGCCTGAAAATAACAACAGAATGCATTTTGCAAGTATGTCTGCCCTTTGCCCCACCAGAAGTGGTGAGAATTCTAACTCCCCCGTGCCTCTGCAGGCAGCTGACAGTCTCTTCTGTCCAGCTCCAATCTTCAATCTCATACAGTTGCACAATGAGTTACCACTTCAGAGCACAGAAAGAGTGCTGAAGGAAGTTGTGAAACGGCAGAGCATGAGACTTGACCATCTCCGCATCCCAGGGTGTGTGGGGAGGCTAATAGAGTGGTCGGTCAGTTCCTAATTCAGTTTGGCTCTTTTTAATGCTACACCCTAGTGCCTGGAAACTTTTACTCATAAGGAGCCAGGACTGTGTAACTTAGTAAGTGCCTCGGGCCAAAATGTCATTCTGTATCCAGGGGAGTGCTGAGTTTGCTGACAGCCAAGCCTTCTGCCTCCCAGCAGCCAGTGCTACAGCTAATTCACATCCAGCTGTCAGCTACAACTTTGAGGGGTAAAGAAATGTGAGAGGATGAGCTTTGAGGTAGACAGCTGAGAGAGTGAGAGACAGAGACAGAGAGAGAGACTGGGAGTATAGAAGCCAGAGTCAACCTTGGGTATCTTTTTCAGTCTTTCTCCATCTTATTTTTGAGACGGGGTCTCTCGCTGAGTCTGGAGCTCTCTGGATCAGCTAGGCTAACAAGATCCAGAGATCTGTCCGTCCTCATTCCTCTAGTGCTAGGATTACAAATTCACCACCATGCCCAGCTTTTTTTGCATGGGTTCTGGGGATTACACAGCATTCATTTCACCAGCTGAGCTCTCCCCACGCCCCGAGAGCTGATGACTGTTAGATGAGGGAGTGGTGAGGACAGCGGATGGGAATAGCACTGAGGATGACACTTACCAGTGGATATGATCCATCCCTTCTTTCTTCACGCTTGGGTCTTTTTATCCCTAAAGTCTTCATGGCAATACCTTTCCAGCATATTCTATAGGCTACAGTAGCCACTTAATAGTAAATAATGGATGGGCAAGTTACTTTTAGACAACAAGTCACTGTGTAAATGTGAAATGTCAGATTGAATCAGTGAAGGGTACTACCATAGGGGCTAAACTTTGAAAGGAGTTTTGGAAAAGCTGGGAAATTAAGCACAACAGAGGCTGCAGAGGGATAGTAGGCGTGAGCTGTTGGAATGGTGAAGTGGGGTGAAGGCCTCGCCTACAGGGGAGGAGAGAGGAGCCAGCCTACAGGATGTGCTGGGGGAACTTGTGTAAGAAATACTGTGGGGCACTCTAAGGCATGGGGGTTAACTAAAAGCTTTTCATGGGAGGTGGGAGTAGGGTAGGCAACATGGCTGACTTTCTCCAAGGAGCATCATTGTACAAGAGATAGGGGACAGGTTGGGAGTGAAGGAAGTCTGAGGGCAACATTGGGAGGCTGCTTTTTGATGTAAATCAAGGTGACCACTCGTTGCTAGCTAGCCAGCCACACTGTGTCTTTAGTGCCAACCACACCTGCCATATTTGTGGGGATGCAGCCATGCCCTGGCTTTGAGGTTCAGTAGCAAATATGCTAGAGAGAGATGGGTAAATCAAAGGGTGGTGAGTCCCGCAGCCTTCCCATGAGCACATCAGATGCCTGTGCTTACTTGACAGAATAGAGCTAAATAAAGTAGGGGTTCCTTTCCATACTTTCTCTATAGAGAATTAAGCTCCAGATGCATCATTTGAAGAGACTCAGGCTCTAGAAAAAGACGGGTGACTTCCTAGGGAAGTCACTTAAGAAATAGTATCTTGCGTTGGAGAGATGGCTCAGCAGTTAAGAATGCGTGTTGCTCTTGCAGAGGAAGAAGTTCGATTCCCAGCACCATACGGTAGCTCACAACCACCTGTAATCCCAATTCCAGAGGATCCAACAGACATGCATGTGGTATACATACATAAATGTAGGGAAAACATACACACAAAGTAACAATAAATAAATCTTAAAAAAAATAACAACTGAGATTTAAAGATGTATCTCAGCTGGTAGAGCACCGACCTAACATGTATGATGCCCCTGGCTTGACTGGGCATGGTGGCACGTGCCTGTAACCCCAGCACCGAGGAAGTTGAAGCAGGAGAACCAGAAGTTCCAGGTCATCCTTGGCTATGTACAGAGCCCCTGGCCAGCCTGGGTATTTGACCGATCTTCCTGCCTCTACTAACACTGTTACACCTACTGCACCTCCTGTGACTAGGTATGCACCCCGATTCACACCTTGGAGTGTTGATTTTTTTTTTCTTTTCTTTGGTTTTTCGAGACAGGGTTTCTCCATGTAGTTTTGGTGCCTGTCCTGGATCTTGTTCTGTAGACCAGGCTGGCCTCGAACTCACAGAGATCTGCCTGGCTCTGCCTCCCAAGTACTGGGATTAAAGGCGTGTGCCACCACCGCCCAGCTGGAGTGTTGATTTTTAAGTCTTTTGTTGCTATGTCAGTTCATTGTCCATAAATATGTCACCATTGAAGATCCCACTTCAGCCCCTACGTTTTTACTACTTTATCCTTCCCTCTAAACTGATAATTTTTTAAGCAGTATTGCTTGTATTTTAAATTAGTATAAATGCTTGTTCAGGCCCATAGATCTCTACTTTGAACCTCATATCAAAATGATTAAATGTCCTTATCACAAGAAAAGCAATCCTGCTGCATTCATAAATTAGCGTCCTCAACTACAGGCCTGACTGTGGCTTTATATACCTTTAACCCCAACCAGGCAGTTTTCTATCCTCCTGCTGACCTTTGCCCTCTTAGTCACCAGCCTTGGCTGGGAATGACCGTTAGCTTTTCCTCAAAACTCCGCTCCAATGACCAGGATTTGCTTTTGATAGAAATACTTAAGCAGAGGAAGATAGTCTCACAATAGAGTGATTAATCATATCCCGAGTGACCAATGTTGCCACCAGCCTTTATTCAGGATGGGCTGTGTAAAAATAAACAGTCACACCTCTACCCGGCCACTTCCTGCCTGTCCAGAATGCATGGGTGTGTGCTCTATTTCCTCTTTTACTTATGTTGTGCAATAACTTCAAAGAATTCTGAGTAACTGAAGTGTTGGCCTGAAGGAGTGGCTTGCTTCTCTCTAATGGTTAACTGTCCCTCACAGGGCTAGTCTTTTCCTCCTGTGGTCTTGGAGTGCTTGTGTTTCTTTTCTGATACGTTTGCCAACCAACCTATAATTTTTTGCTTCCATGAGACCTTGTGGAGGAGGCATTTCCTGTTGCCCGTCTGTTGCACAGCCCTTCCCAGTGCCTGGTACTTAGTGGAATCTAATGTTGGTTCCATGGTATGAACCCATCCTGGGAGTCCTTGAGTGTTATACTAAATTGATCCTGACAGCTTTTGGGTGGGGGGGGGCAGGAGGGAGTGGGGATCAAAACCAAGTATGTTTTGATCTGTCACAGGATAAGTGCTTTTTTTGCCTCAAATTTCATAGAAAAGTATTTGTACAACTTGATAAGAGCTAGGTGTGGTGACTCACATCTTTAATCCCAGCACTGGACACAGGCAAGGGGATCTCTGTGAGTTCGAGGCCATCCTGGTCCATGGAACGAGTTCCAGGACAGCCAGGACTACACAGAGAAACACTGCCTCAAAAACCAAAAGCCAAAACAAACAAAAACTTTTGATAAGAAAAATTCTCTTTCTCTAATCCTAACAGTCTTTCTGAGTCCTTCCTTTTGGGCTGCACAACCTGAGACTGGAGTTGTATTTTTGACCCCACCCTAGTTGCTATAGCTGATGAATCATAGAAACCAGAGTCGGGAAAGACCAGTGAGATCATCTGGCCAGTCTCCAGCTCAGGGAGTGGAGCCCTGGAATGTGGGGATGACCACGAAGAGAGAAGAGATCAGCTAGGGTCGAGGGAACAGCTTGCCCATTACTTTGCCTTTGGCTTCTACCACAATCCTGAGACCCACCCTCTTAGAAAGCAGTCAGGCATCCCCAGTGCCCTGGGAAAAGCAGATGCTGGCATGCAGAGGGATGGTGCTGAAGTTCAGTTGCCTGAGTAATAACGCTGGATTATGAATCATTCAGTAATATTTAACAGTCTTAGAAACTGAGACTCTATCTTTGCATAACTTTATTAATTTAGGAGCTTGTAAGGAACTTAGAGGTAACCTGGGCCAAAATGCATTGTTTCCAGATGCTGAGAGACTAACACTGGGACGG